TTAAATGGATAATAATTTCACGAATAATGATCAAATAATCAATAATAAACTTAAGCAGGAATATCTTAATTAAATAGACAATTATTCACAATAAACAAATTCCACCCGCATGTTTTGACTCAACCACAACGCATAAGTACTCTTCACCTCACATATACGTTGTTCCCGCACATTAAATCATGTAACAAATAGACAAATAAGTCCTACTCCCTCAAGTCAAGGTTAACCACGACACTAACCTCGCTTTGCAACCAAATTCAAGTATCCAATACACCCTTGCCTCGCGAATTAGTGTCCAAAATCCTCAAATCTAGTCATAAACAATTCAATATATTCAATACAAATCGTAGGAATTAATTCCATATGAATTTACTAATTTTCTGGATTAAAATCCGAAATTTATTTTAAAAATCGAGAGTGGGGCCCACATCTCAAATCTCGGAAACATTTACGAATTCCGAACACCCATTCTGAGATTAGTCCAACCATACAAAAATTATCAAATTCCGATGTCGAATGGACCTTCAAATATTAAATTTTTATTTTTGGAAAGTTATACAAAAATTCCAATTTCTCCCATCTAAATCCGTAATAAATAATGAATATAGACTTAGATTTATGAAATATAATCGCTATATGTTAAAGAACACTTACCCAGTTCAAAATCGTGAAAAACTCCTTTGAAATCGCCCCTAAACCGAGTTCTAATTGAGGGTTTGTGATAAAATGGGAAAACTCCCGTTTTAGGTTCTGTTTTAATTAACTGGACGACAGTGTTCATCGCGTTCGTGTGAACACTGCCACGTTAGCGAAGAGCTGTGCCTGAGTGGCTTTCGCGTTTGCGAAGGATTACACGCGTTCGCGATGGTCTATCCCCCCTGGCCATCGCGTTCGCGAGACTTGTCTTGCGTTCGCGTAGAACAACCCACTGATCCCCAGCCCCCTTCCAATAACTCTACGCGTTCGCGTGTTGCCGTTCGCGAAGAGCAGATCCCCAGTGCTCCGTGTTCGTGACCCTGGCCTCACATTCATGTAGGACAAACCATCCCCCAGCCCAGCTCACACTTCGCGTTCGCGTGAGAGCCTTCGCGGATGCGAAGAAGGAAACCAGAAGCCTGAAGTTGTAGAAAATCAGATTTTCTAAGTTCAAAATCATCCTGTAGCCTATCCGAAACTCACCTGAGCCCTCGGGGCTCCAAAACAAACATGCACCCAAGTCCTAAAACATCATACGAACTTTCTTGCGCAATCAAATCGCCAAAATAACACCTAGAACTACGAATCGGACACCAAATCAAAGGAAATTTTCAAGAAACCTTTAAAACATCTACTTTCACAACCGAACGTCTGAATCACGTCAATTCAACTCCGTTTCTCACCAAATTCGACATACAAGTCATAAATATTATAGTAGGCATGTACCGGGCTCCTGAATTAAAATACGGACCCGGTATCAACAAGACCAAACATCAGTCAATTCTAAAAAATTATTAAACTTTTAAACTTTTAATTTTTCATCACAATTTCATATCTCGAGCTAGGGACCTCGGAATTCGATTCCGGGCATACGCCCAAGTCTCAAATCATGATACGGACCTATTGGAACTGTCAAAATACTAATCCGGGTCTGTTTGCTAAAAATGTTGACCAAAATCAACTTAATTGAATTTTAAGGCTCTATTTCACATTTTAATCTATTTTTCACATAAATGTTTTTCGAAAAATTATACGGACTGCACATGCAAGTCGAGAAATGATGAATAGTGCTTTTTGAGGTCTTAAAATATAGAATTAAATATTAAATTTAAAGATGACCTTTTGGGTCATCACATATGTTCTACTGTTTCCCTGCTTTATGATTATATGAGCCATATGTGCCAGCTACTGTCTCAGTGTTTTATCCAAACATGTTGCTCTCTAATGTGGTGTTTGGTCAATCCTACATTTTTTGTGTTGCCTAGGTTTCTAGTTAAATCCTAATACACTTAGTTATTGTTATTATGCATAGTCGACTGGCTTAAGTTCTGAAGTCTGTATATTCTATTTGATCTTAAGATTGACATATCTTCCTACCATGATGTCTTTGGACTTGGGAATCTTTAGGTTATACTCAGCATGATTAGGATTCTTATTGACTGTTATAGACCATGCCTACTTGCTTGTTTACTATGTGTAATTGTCCTTCTCTGACTATGACTCTATTAGACCTTCATGTCTTAGATTCCTAGTTTTAAAATCCCTTTTAGGCTAATTCTGGCTCATGCTTTACTCTAAACTTGTAGTTCTGGAAGACTAAGCATGTATGTGTGCTTACCCTGTTATCCTAAGTGAATGCCTCCCCAACTCTTCTAATGTTGCACATGTTATACTCTTTCACTTGTTGTGAACCTATGTTGTTAGCTTTTCATGTCAAACTCATCATGTGGAAACTAAGTTCGGTTCTCCCAGTTTCATGGTCAAGCCCTTGTTTGACCAATCCTGTCACCCTAGCTTCTAAAATGCAAGTGCCAATATGCTTTATGTGAATCCTGCTGAATGTCATGTAATCATATCCCTAGGAGGTATTACTTCAGGGTTGTTCAATTGATTGCTATGTGCGGTTCGTTAACTTATATGGTTAAGTGGTCAATATGTAATTGCTGGGCTTGGTATGAGTTCATGTGTAGCCCTGGGCTGTGCAAATGGACACACTCTCCTGTTTGAGATGCATTTGGATCCAGGTCTGTTATTCGTGTGAAAGTGAGCCTGTTGAAGGCCCAGGCAGTACTGGGTTATTTTTATTTGGGCCTGCAGCTGTTCTGCGTGTAATATTTATACTTATGTTCATTATTTTCGGCCTGTAATAATTTGTCAACAAAACAGTTGGAAAGTTAGTGGAATGGGGGGAATCAGTATCCTTTAATTTTCATATAAATGGGTAGAGAGCATGCCTATAGGGTCTACATGCTTTGTTTGCTACTTTGTTCTACATGCTCTATTTCTAGACACTAATAGAAATCATGCTTATAGGAACTTGAACACTTCACCTACTTAACCTTGTCTAATACCCGTACATCATCAAAAGCATGTTTGTAATAGTTTAAGTTCTCTACATGTTCATATGTCTACTTCTATGTGCTATTAGATAGTATGCTTATAGGAATCAAATGTCAATAATTATTTGCTTAGTAGTGTAATTGCAATATGATTACTAGATAGCATACATATAGGATCGCACTAATACATGTCTTCGCTTATCTGGATACCATGTCTATAAGGCTTTAATTGATCGATTACTTCTATTATTTTCTTACACTGCCACCTAGATAATATGCCTATAGAATAAGTATGATAAAATTGAGTTCAAATGCTAACTATTAGAAATCCTGCCTATAGGGTACTGTTACTCGCTTAAAAGAATGTCCATAGGATCAAACACGAATAATTCTGAGTTTTCTAATAGCTTTCACTACCCCTACGACACAAACAACTCAGAAATCATGTCTAAATTAATACATGTAATCTACCAATTCGATAATCTGAAACAGCCGCAATGCCTGTAGGACGTCTTGAATTGGGATCATATAAAAGCTAAGTCTATAGGACTTAACGACTCTAATACGTCTTAATTCTGAAACTATCTACTGCATAACCTGAAATCTATTCGCGTGCCTTTGTTTCTATGTGTGGAGGCTAACATGAACCTCTCATTGCTATTATGTGCAGTCCTACTTGTTTTGAATGTGCACCTAGTTTTATCATTTTGAGCACCCTAAGTAAAGTCTAGAACCACCCAAATAGTAGGTCCAAAGCCTACTGGACCCTAGGTATGGGACGGGTAATGCACGCATAGGACACGGTTTATAATTGAATTAGAGAGCTTTAGGTAAACAACTTTAACCATTTAATTGGGTAGCAGGAGATAATAGTTTGTGCCCGCTGAATAATATGAGCAACTCCTACCCTAAGGGGTCGTTTGGTTTGAAGACAAGTTATGCTGGGATAAGTTATGCTAGGATAAGTTATGTTAGGATTAGTTATGCTGGGATTAATTATCCTGATATTATTTATTATCCACTGTTTGGTATGTTGTATTAAAAATGACATGCATTGCATAATTTCTAAGAAGAAGTTGTTTATTTATAAAAATAACCTCCATCTTATTTAGCCTCCATCTTCTTGCTCTTTTATCTAATTGACATACGTCAATTTTCAATTCTTACATCAACAAGTATTAAATAATGTTTTGAGGCTCTAGTTTTCAATTCTTTGAAATATATCTGCTGATTTCTTCTTCTAAATCTTCTTCCTAACTTTAATCCCTATTGCAGAACCAAATTTGAAGAAATATTGCTCTACTATTCCTGGCAACAAGAGTTGTGCCCATACAAAAAATCTCAGTTCAACAACTTGAATTATACCACTTAAAACATCAAACATTATATAATAAATTGCAAATGCTATGATCTTCACTTTCACCGGATCTTACACACAATCAACTCCACATCAGAGGCAATAAAGCCCCAACATCTACTGTTGGCGCAAAAGATGTAAAAGCACCAAATTTGATAGATCGAGCAAAGGAAGAGACTGAGGCTATGATTCACCACGACAAAAAACCTCAGTGTCATAAGGAAACTCACGGAACTAGTGATGACATTGATGAAAGCACCCCAGTTGATGAAGTTAAATGACCAAATGTATTTGAAAGAGTCAAGGAAGAGATTGAGGTTGTTGTGCAAAGTATTCACCCCAAGAAATGATATAACTCTTGTTAAATTAATTGGTCTCAATATTATCATATTTACTTACAATATTTGTTTTCCTGTTTCCTTCAGATGTAAGATAGCTAATTGCCATGTATAATACTATTGATTTCTTGGTCTTTTCAATTTTCACGGAATGTATTGCGATTTTAAAAAAAAAACTCCACATCAGAGGTTCAAACCAAGATCCACTAATTGGCCAGAAAGACATAACCAAAACTATAGAATTTAGAGGCATCAAAAACATAGTTAAGCTAAAAAGAGAAATTGAAGAATTGTCATAGTAGTAATATAATTACATATGCACTTAACATTTACACTAGATTTAAGCTATTTAATAGACATTAGTTACACAAAAAATATAGCATCCTCGTGCCCACCAGTCATAAACAAAAGAGTATGGACATAACCCGAGGTATCAAAAATAGCACTACAGTTTAACTTTAAAGTTGTTAGTCGAGCAAAAACTATCAAACTAGTTCCACCACATATACACAACTTTACTATACTTCAAAGTTTACCATTGACAATCATGAACATCATTGTTTGGCGTTAAAGTTCACCCATATGACATCTTCACAGAGAATTATTGTAGCTTTGATATGTTCTTGTACAGAGCACAACTTAAATGCGGGAGATTCAAGAATGGAATAAATTTCACCAGGAATATCGGATCGGTCACGATCCCTAATCTTATCAATCAAGGCACCCATTCTTTTATCTTGACTTTCAATAAAGTTTTTCATAACTTCCGTCATCCTATTAAGAAATGCCTCACTAGAATCCTCCACAACCCTTTTTCTTTTCTTGCTTTTCTCTTTTTCATTGAAATTAGAAGAGGACCTATTAGAATGCTCACCTTGTTTATGATTTTGTTGGAATCCTGCATGTTCATTTTCAGATGCTCCAGCACATTAATGTTCAGATGCTCTAGCATCTTCCTTTTCAGATTCTCCAATAAAACTAGGTCCAGCATAAGCATTTTTAGCTTCTCCAGTAGCTATATTAGGTCCATCACCAGCATCATCTTCTTCTTCTTCATCAACAACAATAGGCCATCCTAAGCTCATGTCATTAGAAAGTCCTGAAGCTTGACTCCTTAGAATATCCTCAGCAGCATCTAGCGGCCCTTCTGCGAACTCTCCCGACGCTCGATCCTAGCCAAAATGTTCCTCCCAATCCTCAAACATTGGTCATTTCTTAGTATTCATGCTTTTTTGTTTTGGATCAATCTAGAAAAAATAAGGAAAGAAACAAAGTAATGACATATGCGTCAATTATAAACTATGATGCGAACTCAGGAAAATTCTTATATGAAGTAACAATATTCTAATAACTTAAGCAAAGTATAAATTACCTTAAAAATTCATCGCAATGTTTTGGATCATCAACAATTATGGTTCCATCACTATATTGAAATCCCAGACCACTTCGACTCTTTAATAAACTTATGCTTGAATAACATCTCTTCCATGCTTTTACTTTATTATTAACATGTGGTTCACCTTTCAATTGACTACTAGGATGACGTTCATGAAAATAGTGCTCTAATTCCATCAAGTATCCTGGCCTTAAGGTTCCATTATCGGCTCGCCAACCATCAGCACACACTTTTTTTAAACCATCTAAAAGAGCACTTTCTTCTGCTGGAGTCCAGATCCTTCGAGAAGAAGGTGTTGATTTTCTTGATCTTTTTGACAATAGCTTTGAATTTTCTGCCTGTCTATTCATTTTATCTGTATAATCTTGTGAAATAAATCATCATAAGTATTAGTTACCACCACAAGAAGTATAAGTATCTCCAATATTACTTAGCATCACAAAAATAAAAATTCATATACTTTACACATAAAAAAAGATTAAATAGGAAGTATAAAACTATCACAAAAGAAACGCTAACTAAACATAAGTAATCTTCACAAAAATTAAAGTAAGTAACTATTTCTTATAATAAAAAAAACTGAAAGTTGATACACCTTACAATCATACAAAAAACTAAAGAGAAATATACCCAAACACCACAAAATATAATACAAGCATGGAACGTTTTGAAACGATCAATTGTTTAGACTTGCATTTCACATTGATTGAGCCAACTCATCCCTCCATGTGGTCCACTCCTCAGATGATTCAACAACATTAATGTTGTCATGTTGATACTCCACTTGTTCTTCCATATCAATGTCTAAGGGATCCACTTCCATCTCTCTACGAATAAAGTTGTGCATCAAACAACAAGCACTAATGATCCTGTTATGAACCTTAACTGAGTACCACAAAGAGCTTCTAAGAATTCCCCAATACCCTTTCAAGAGACCAAATGCTCTTTCGATAACATTACGAGCCCTAGAATACTTTATATTGAAAAGCTCTTCTCGACATCGAGGTGGCGGATTGTCACCTTGCCAATCCCTTAACTAATATCTATACCCTCTGTAAGGTGAAAGAAAATTGTTTCCATTTGTATATCCTCCATCGCATAAATAATAATTTCCTTTAATATAAACATAAAATTTAGTTACTTTTATGTAGCATTCTTTTTGTGATATAACTTGAGTGTATAAGCATATGTATGGCATACCCTCAGGGATTTTCAAACCGTTCGTTTGAACTATAGCATCTCGTAATACACGACCATCGGCAGTAGATCCTTCCCAACCAGGTAATACATAAGTAAAATTAAGATTTCTATCACAAACTCCCAGTACATTAGTTGATATTTCTCCCTTTCATGTTCTATATCTTGGTTTGAACTCGGATGAAACTCTAATTTGAATGTAAGTATCATCCAGTGCACCTAGACATCCCTATAAAATCAATTATAGATTATTTCAAACTATTAATTTCTTTTCGTATGATTATATTTTTTTAGTTTTACATAAATAGCTCAAAAGAAATTTCACATACCTTAAACCATCTCCATCGATCTTCAATCTCGTCTTCAAGCACTGGTTTGGGATTAACAAGTAACAATGGAGTTAGTTTGAGAACAGCTCTCAAGCATTTATTGAAAGCTTAACTTACGCTCCAACCCGATCTAACATAGTCAACCTTAATTGATCTATTCTTCTCATGATGAACCAAGATATTTAAGAACATTGCTAACTTTTCACTACTTGACATATTTTTACTATCAGTCAAACCTCCAATTTCCTTAGTTAAGAGAACTAAAGTGTGAAAGGAATTTTCATCCATTCTTAACTTATCAATACATGCAATATCACTGTCATGTATGATACAATTCAAATGAGACATAATTTTAGGAATTCGAACACTCATATGGTACCTAATCACATGCCTATTTCTATGTTGTCTTCTTATAGAATGACCATAAATAGTCATGAAAAGAAATACAAACATAACAAGAAATTATTGGCACAATATCTCCTCAAGGATAATAATGCATTCAATATCAGACAATAGTTGATGATCCATAAGAAAACCTAATTTTGCCATAATAAAAATGAAAAGAATTAATATACAAAAAATTTCAATTAGAAAAAGGAATTTATGAGCAAAAGTTTATAATTTTCAAGCACATAAAGAGAAACAAATGAACCCAACGAATATTTGGAAAGAGGCTAAACTAAGATTTCATCGTCAACATAAGAGAGAAGGGCTAATAAATGGCAGTGGACAATCCACAACTGAGATTTTCACATATTGCAGCTCTTTCACATATAGCTAGTACTCTTTCATATATTTCAGCTCTTTCGGCACTACATATTGAGCTTGAAAGGCTATGATTTTTCTCAATTATTTGCTAAATAAAATTCAGCAAAACAATTACGTAGCATTCATAAAAGCGTTCAGATTTTTACTATTTTGGTAGAGAAGAGGACTGTACCCAAATTATGCAACAGAGAACTTTTAAATGATAACAAGAAAGAATAAGAGAAATAGGTTTTGATAGAAGTTTTAACCTTGTGAGAAAAGCAAAATGGAAGATAATGTCAAAGTTGTTCTTCAATCACTACAACATAGCTTCTGCAACTAAAGAAGAGAATAAATCTTCTCCAAGAGCAGAGAAATTTGTAGCGGCGTTGCTTTACCAATGTTGGGTAAAGAATGGGAAAATTAATGTAGAAAAAGGGTTTGAGGACCTTAGGGCTATTTTTGTGAATTTCACTATTTTGTCCTCGGATTATAATCCTACTATTAATTATCCCACCTCCTATGAGGTATAAGTTATCCCGGTATTAATTTTAATCTCGGGATAACTTATCCCAAGTTTGGTAACCAAACAAGGTATAAGGTAGTATTAAAGTTTTATCCCAGCACTATTTTTACTTATCCCTCATACCAAACGACCCCTATGAGAGTTGCGAAGTATTATTTATATTGTACGGGGTGATCCTTTAGGCAAAAAAACTTAGGCCCCCCTTCCCTTTATATGCTTGTTATTCACACTTAGTCATCAAATATAGACCAGCGCAGTTGTATCCCTGTAACCTCTAAGACTTGTACCGATTATTTATAAAGTTCAATTCTTATTTTGTTTTCTTTGCACTTGTTTATATAGAGCCTTCAACTTCCACATCTTTTTTTCACTTAATTGATCACTTAGCTTAATTATAATTCAATAATCCACATAGCATAAACATCGGTCGGGACCCACCGTTATGGACCTTGAAGAGTGCCTAACACCTTCCCTTCGAGGTAATTTGATCCCTTACCCGATCATTGGTGACGTAGACTAGTCAAACCTAGCTATTTGCAAATAAGTTCCCTAACGCACCTTAAAATCGTTAGGTGATAACTCTTCTCTTTTAATACCCATTTAAAAAAGTTGTCACACGTCGAAACCTGCTTTCGCGAGAAAACGGGGCGCGACAACCATATGCCTAGTATCACCACACTCGAAACAAGCCCTTTGTGGGCGTGGCTGCTGAAACTAAACCTGACCTGGTCGGCTAGATTGACCGCTAAAGATGCCATATGCAGGAGGTGCATTAGAAAGTGATTGTGCATAATGGGCGACCTGAGACCTCCGAATAACCGGAGCACTACGAGTAGCTGGAAGTGCTGAATAAACTGGTAAACTCACATAACCTCTACCATGACGGGCTGAAACTGGAGCGCGGGCACCACTATATCTTCCAGAATCTCGAGGCATCTTGGACTCCCTATCCTCCCAGTCTTAGCCCCACATATGCTCCATCCTCCGAGCGATCCCCACAACCTGCTAAAACAGAGCATCCGTCTCCAACTCTCGAGCCATGCTGAATCTAAGACCATAACTAAGCCCCTCGATAAACCTGCGGACTTGCTCTCTAACTGTAGAAACCAAAGCAGGTGCATGTTAGGACAAATCTGATGGCATACTCTGACACTGTCATAGTCCTATGACGCAGCTTCCCAAACTATGTGCGCCATGCATCCCCGGAGGGTCTGGGGAACAAACTCCCTCAAAAACATATCTGAAAATTGAGTCCAAGTGAGTGGGGCCGCATCAGCTGGCCTACCTTCCTCATAAGCCTGCCACCACCTGTATGCTTCCCCTGACATCTAAAATGAAGTAAAGGCAACTCCCTCACATCCACAATACCCATGGTGCGGAGAATACGGTGGCACTTATTTAGGAAACCTTGTGCATCCTCAGTAACTGTGCCACTGAAAGTAGGAGGATCATACTGCTTGAACCTCTCAAGTCTCCTCTACTCCTCCTCAGATGCCTCTGGCCTGACCTCAGGCTGAACCGGAATAACGGGTTGTGCTGGAATAACAGGTTGTGCCGGAATGATACCCGGAACCTGATCAATATGAACCCACTACTCTAGAGTATGGGTTGCGGGAGTTTGAGCTCCTCCCCCAGCCTGAGATGTAGCTAGTGCAATGGGGATCAATCCCGCCAGAGCTAAAGTGCCGAACATGGTCAACAAATGTGCTCAAGAATTTTCAACTTAAACTTAATTTTCATAATTTCGTAGATAATGCGCCGAAACGCGTTCAAGTCACCCCATACCCCCACCAAACATGCATACAAGTCCAAAAACATCTAGGATCGTCAAAATACCGATCTGTGGTCTTTTACACAAAATATTGAGTGTGGTCAACTCTAGCCTCATTCTTAGTCAAAACTTTCATTTTCTTCAAAATTTCCCATAAAAGCTTTTCGAAAAGCGACAAGGACATCAAGAAACATCAAATGGAGCTAATAAAAATCTAGAAACATGAAAATAGAGGGTAGCACTCAAAACGGCCTATTAGGTCGTCATATTCTCCACCTATAAAATAAATGTTCGTCCTCGAACGGACATAGAAAAGTACATGGACTGGTAAAAAGGTGGGGTTATCTACTTCGCATATCGTATTCGGACTCCCACGTAGCTGCCTTGATCGGATGACCTCTCCATTTCACTTTCACAAAAGGAAAACTCGTAGATCTCAACTTTCGAACATGCCGGGCTAGAATAGCCACCGGCTCCTCCTCATAGTCTAAATTTTTATCAAGTTGCACCGTGCTGAAGTCCAAAACTTGTGAGATGTCTCCATGGTACTTCCTAAGCATGGACACGTGAATTACCGGATGTACCCCTGCTAAGCTAGGAGGTAATGCAAGCCTATAAGCAACCTCCCCAACTCTATCTAAGATCTCAAATGGCCCAATAAACCTCGGGCTCAACTTGTCTTTCTTTTCAAACTGCATCATGCCATTCATAAGCGATACTCGAAGGAGAACCTTCTCACCCACCATATATGCCACATCTCGAACCTTCCGATCCGCATAACTCTTCTGTCTGGACCGGGCAGTGCGAAGTCGCTCCTGAATTACTTTAACCTTCTCCATAGCATCACACACTAAATTAGTGCCCAATAACCTAGCCTCTCCAGGATCAAACCAACCAATCGGCGAACGACATCTCCTCCCATATAAGGCCCCATATGGCACCATCTTAATACTTGACTGGTAACTGATGTTGTAGGCAAACTCTGCTAGAGGTATAAACTGCACCCATGAACCTCTGAAATCCATAACTCAAGCACGTAACATGTCCTCCAAGATTTGAATAGTGCGCTCGGACCGTCCGTCCCTGAGGATGAAATGTGTGCTCAACTTGACCCTCGTGCCCAACTCACGCTGCACGGCTCTCAAAAAATGCAATGTGAACTACATGCCTTGGTCAGAAATATTGGAAATAGGCACACCGTGCAGGTGGATAATCTCATGGATGTAAATCTAAGCCAAGCGCTCTTAAGAATAGGAAGTTGCCACTGGAATGAAGTGTGCAGACTTAGTCAACCGGTTCACAATAACCCAGATTGCATCATACTTCTTCAAGGTCCGTGGTAAGCCTACCACAAAATCCATAGTGATGCGCTCCCACTTCCACTCCTGTATCTCCAATCTTTGTGTCCAACCATCCGATTTTTGATGCTCATACTTCACCTGTTGACAATTCAAACACCGAGATACATAAGCAACATTGCCTTTCTTCATTCTTCACCACCAATAGTGTTGTTTCAAGTCACGGTACATCATCGTGACACCTGGGTGAATGGAATAGCATGAACTGTGAGCCTCTTCAAGGATCAAGTCTCTCAACCCATCAATATTTAGAACACAAATCCGGCATTGAAGCCGCATAACACCATCATCTCCAATCACAACCTCTTTAGCACCACCTCGCTGTGCTGCATCCTTCAACATCAACAAGTGAGGATCATCAAACTAGCGAGTGCGACAACACAAGCAAGAATACGGATGGGCTTCGAAAATCCAATTTCACAAATTGATTGGACAAAGCTTGAACATTCATGGCTAGTGGCCTCTCTACAATCGATAAATCTACCTAACTGCCCGTGCTCTCAGCCTTTCTACTCAATGCATCTGCCACTAGATTGGCCTTCCATGGATGATATAATATGGTGATATCATAGTCTTTCAGTAACTCTAACCATCTCTGATGTCGCAAATTAATGTATTTCTACTTAAACAGGTGTTGGAGACTCTGATGATCGGTATAGACCTCACAATGAACATCGTACAGATAGTGCCTCCAAATCTTCAGCGCGTGAACAATGGTTGTCAACTCTAAGTAATGAACAGGGTAATTTTTCTCATGAACCTTCAACTTCCAAGATACATAGGAAATCACCCTACCATCCTTCATCAATACCGCACCAATCCCAATACGTGATGCATAACAATACAAGGCATAAGATCCTGAACCTATAGGCAACACAACCACTGGATTTGTAGTCAATGTAGTCTTGAGCTTCTGAAAGCTCAACTCACACTCGTCGGACCATCTTAAAAGAGCACCCTTTTGGGTCAACTTGGTCAATGGGGCTAAGATAGAAGAAAACACCTCCACGAACCGAGGATAATAACCCGCCAAACCCAAGGAGCGCCGAATCTCTGTGGTTGAAGTAGGTCTAGGCCAGTTCTAAACTGCCTCAAACTTCTTAGGATCCACTTTAATGCCCTAAGAAGATACAACATGGCCTAAAAAGGCAATTGAGTCCAACCAGAACTCACACTTTGAAAACTTGGCATATAACTAACGATCCCTCAGAATTTGAAGTACGATCCGCAGATATTGCTCATCCTCCTCTCGACTGCGAGAGTAAACCAAAATATCATCAATGAAGACGATCATAAAAAAATCAAAATAGGGCTTGAACACCCGGTTCATCAAATGCATAAAGGCTACTAGAGCATTAGTCAAGCCAAATGACATCACTAGGAACTCATAGTGACCATATCGAGTCTATAAGGCTGTCTTAGGGACATCTGCTGCCCTAATCTTTAACTGATGGTAGCTAGATCTGAAGTCAATCTTCGAAAGCACCTTGACACCCATAAGCTGATCAAATAAGTCATCAATCATTGGCAACAGATACTTGTTCTTGATAGTGACCTTATTCAACTGCTAATAATCTATACACATGCTCACGTTCCATCCTTCTTCTTCACAAACAACATCGGTGCACCTCAAGGCGAGACACTAGGTCCAATGAATCCCTTATCAAGAAAATCCTACAACTGCTCCTTCAATTCTTTCAACTCAATTGGGGATATACGGTATGGTGCAGTAGAAATGGACTGAGTGCCCAGAACCAAGTCA